AGTATGGCGGTCGAAAAAGAATAGTTTAAACCTGCATATTCACCAGTAATTTATTTCTAATAAATATTTTGTCATATCTCTGTAACACATTCATCTGTAATTTCTTGTGATATATAGTTTTTCATTTTCTTACAAGTTATTTGTAATAATCATTTCCGTAATACATATTCTTCAAATATATTTTGTAGAGCAATCATTTTGGTATATTCTTGTCTTTTCAGCTTTTCAACGCCGTAAAATTAATAAAATACCTCGAAAGACAATATTAGTAATATACAGAAAATTTATTACAAATATATTCCAAATTATTGGAGATTGACATGAAAATAGTTTTGCTCGATTTAAATTTCCCGCTCGTTTGTACGAGAGACAATTTAAAGGGACAGTTTTCGAGAGATCAAAGGTGCCGAAAGAGAGTTTTACTCTGTGATAAAAGACAATACTGAATGTAATTAAACATTATAGAGCACAATGCTGAATGTATTAAATAAAATACAGTATAATAACATATTATGAAATACAATATTGAATATAATGAAACAGTATAAGATAAATAATCATATTCCTAAGTCACGATGCACACCTAACGTTTTTTTGTCAAATGCTTATCATTAAATAGAGCGATTAGCATAGTGGATGATCTGGTAGCGATACATAGGTGTGTGTAATGCATATTAACCGTGTTAATGCGTCGATAAGTGGTCAGAGGCGTTGTCGGGTACGGCGAGCCTCCAAAGGCGAATAACGGAGTTCAGAACAGTGTTCAGGGCCTCTCCGCGTGTCTCGATCATCGGGGACTTACAATCACTTCGTTCTCATATTTATAACATATTCATAATTATCATGCGGGAGCCGAGGTCGAGCGATTTTGCAACGCGATACGATTACACGATCCTGCGAAGCGATCGGCTAACATGGCCGCCTCCTGTCGAGGGTGTTCATAGTTACTTACGCGATTTTGTAATGAATCGGCTAACTAGTTTCTACATTTTTTTTTATTTATCTAACAGTCGAGCCTTTTTACGGATACGATACCGATTAAAATGAGGAAAAAATCGTGATATGACGTTTAACGCGTTGATTGCTGTAGTGACATGTAATTGCACTTGCGAGCGGTATGATTATTCCATTTTTCGAATTCGAAGTGAAATAACTGAGTTGGGGCAAATCGATTGGTCTCAATAATTTTTATTCGATTATGGTCAGATTTTAATTCGATTCTGATTCACTTTTAATTCGATTTTGGTCAGATTTTAATTCGATTCTGATTCACTTTTTATTCGATTTTGGTTGGATTCTGATATAATTTTGATTCGATTCTGATTCACTTTTGATTCGATTTTGGTTGGATTCTAATTTAATTTTGATTCGATTCTGATTCACTTTTGATTCGATTTTGGTTGGATTCTGATATAATTTTGGTTCGATTCTGATTCACTTTTGATTCGATTTTGATCAAATTCTAATTTGACTTTGATTCGATTCTGATTTAATTTTGGTTCGATTTTGATCTAACTTCGATCCGATTCCAATTCCATTTTGATCTAACTTTGATCTTATTCTAATTCAATTTTGATCTAACTTTGATCCACTTCTATTTAATTTTGACTCAACTGCATTTTCAAAAGACCCAACCATTTTTCCACGTTCCTAAAAAAATCGATGGTAACAGAAATAAACAGTGAATGAGTAAAGTAAGGTCCGGTCATTTTTCACCCCTGCAATAATGCGTATAGAATCGATAAGGATCGATCGAGCACGCGAGTAGCGGATTCTTGATCGAATCTAGATCCGGCGCGGTCGAGTTCCGTTCGAGTGACTCAGATTTATCATCGTCGTTGTTCGCCATTATCATTAACAATACTGTCAGCTCGCGTACTAATCGTGACTCGATTTAACGTGTCAAACATTTTCTTTCACGTAAACTTTTTCCACTAAATGTAACTGTTCCTGGGTTCTGATATAATGATCCCGAAAATTTCATCAGCTCCAAGAACGCGTTTGCCTAATTACAAGCTAGCCGTGGAAGCCTTCAAGGAGCCATAGAATTTATGATATGCGGAGAAAGTAACGGATCGAGAGGAGCATATCTCGCCAGTGAAATTTCACGTCGTGATCTTCGGTTTTTCGTTTTCAGCCGGGTCAGCGAACCGATCATGGGTTCATCTCGTGAATCACCTTGCTTTCTATATACCAGATAATGAACCTGAAGTGCAGGTGCAACCGTCATCTGACACGATTTATCGCTTAAAATATAGCGGCCTGTGTTTCAAACCTTTTTAGTTTATATTTTGTTCACAGTAATTAGACACATTTTATATATTTTTACTCCTGTAATTTTGATTAATTTTACACTTTTCCAATTATTTTGTGTTTTGAATAAATTTGAATAAATTCTTGGCTTTTGATTTTTGCAAGATCTAATGTATTTGATTTACTTGATACTAGATTTGAATATACTGCAAAATTGTTATGTTTTATTTTTTGTTGAGCTAAATAAACCTTCATTTTTATTTTAGATTTAGGCAAATTTCAAAACCGACTATTCTCAATTTTTAGTAAACACGTAAATTAATTTAGTACTCTTACATTACTGCTGCTTGTTACATTAGACTTGAATGAATTTCAGAAAATTTTATTTTTCAAGTTTCATTAGATGTGCAATTTAATATTTTTCTAGTTGCATGTATAACATTTCAGATTAAGATGAACTGAAAAATTGTCTGTCTTAAACCTTTACTATTACCAATTAAATTTATAACTTCTCATTTACAATTTTAATAATAAACAAACATTACATACAGTACCTCCATTTTTCATACTAACATGGACCTCCATTATCAATATTTTTTTCCTGTACAAATTAATAATAATCTTAATCTAAATTTTAATAGTAATTTTGATCAAAGTCACCTCTAATAAGAACGCAGTAATTTGCGCGACTCATATCAAAAACAAAAATAAAAGATTGTATCATAATGCAATCTTCAGAAAGAATTATACTGGTCTCTAATTTATAGTCGTTACCACGAAAAATGGAGACAATAAAAACAAAAATAAAAACCGAAAGAGGCTGGAAAACAACGCGTGGGACAAATAAGTGGCAATCGAAGCGTGTCGCGATGGAACGAGGCATGAATGAAAAAGTTTCCCGCAGACCTTGCCAGGATACCAATTAGAACGTCATATCGCACGATTTTTTTTTAAATGCGCTAGAAAACGCACAGGGACACGTCCTTGCGATTCTAATTCTTCGAGGACCTATTCCTGCGGGGCGGGGCTCCTGTTATGAATGGAAAAAAGCAACGCGGCCTCGGATCGAGACTTTGATTGAAAGTCATCGTTGCACGAAGCATTTGCCGCAGGAAGAAACAACGGATCGACCTTACTGTTTCTAATGCAACTGGATATTAAACGAGGATCGCTAATTACGGGCTGAGATTTATTGCTTCGGCTACCGCCATTTTGACGATTCGGGGAAAATGGCGGACATCTGAATTGGAGGATTCGGGGAAGGTTTCTGAATTGGAGTGAAACTTCAATGTTTTTGAAGTAAATTGTGAAAGTGTTCAAATTTGTTATTTTTTGAATTCGGGAGTTTGTGAACTTTATATTTGGAAATTCATTAATTTTCAAATTTAGGAGTTTGGGAATTTGGGAGTCTCGGAGTTTGCAAGTTTTCAGATCTATAAATTTTCAAATTTACTATTTGGAAATTCATTAATTTTCAAATTTAGAAGTTTGGACGTTTGAAAGTCTGGAAGTCTGCAAGTTTTCAGATGTACAAATTTTCAAATTTAGAAGTTCGGGAGTTTGGGAGTCTGGAAGTCTGCAAGTTTTCAGGTCTTCAAATTTTCAAATTTATAATTTGGAAATTCACTGCTTTTCAAATTTAGAAGTTTGGAAGTTTGAGAGTCTGGAAGTCTGCAAGTTTTCAGATGTACAAATTTTCAAATTTAGAAGTTCGGGAGTTTGGGAGTCTGGAAGTCTGCAAGTTTTCAGATCTTCAAATTTTCAAATGTACAATTTGGAAATTCACTGATTTTCAAATTTAGAAGTTTGGAAGTTTGAGAGTCTGGAAGTCTGCAAGTTTTCAGATCTACAAATTTTCAAATTTACAATTTAGTACACTTTGAAATTGTTGAGGTTAGAAATTTAAACACTTGTGGACTTAGAAATATTCCAATTGAGAGAAAATTCAGAAAGTCTCAAGTGAAGTAATAAGAAATGTTCAAACACAGAATTCTGCAGAAATTTTCAATTGAAGGAGTCCTTCAAATTTAGAAACTCGATGTTGCAAAACGAAGCAAACATTGTCGCTGCAACCCAGAGTATACATATTACAAGATCTTGAAATGTTGGTCAACCCGAGTTCGAAAAATGGCGCCAAAAGAAGATACGAAACAACGGTTGCACAAAATGGAGATCGAAGCACAATGTAAAACGGCAAGGTCGTTAATGTTGCGCAACAGTCGTAATAATTAATCTGTACTTTCTCTATAGCGTGTCTCTTCTTCATTTCCAGCAGGAGAATTTCACTCGCACGTTGGAACGGCTTTTCGAAGGAAGGCTAACGAGATGTGTGTGTTGGTGCGTGCATGCACGAGTTCACACAGGCGACTGATGTAATTTTTTTTTTACCTGTTACGAAATACACCGGACGTTTATCACGAAAGTCACGTAGGCAAACGAGAAAGAGGATTCTTCCGTGTAAGAAAGTTCCGCAGACGAATCTTGTGGAGGCCTACTTCTCTCAATAACATATGGTTGATCACGTGTTTGTGTGGTTAGGTGAAATGCTTAATGAAAGAAGTTTGACATTGTTCATTGAAGATTTGATTGAAGATTTTTTGTGGAAGATTAGATGGAAGATTTTCTTATAGGTGAGTTGGATGAAGATTAGGCTCCTTGGCTGAACGTATGTGTTGAACTCACATGTGTTGAAACGTACAGGACAGTTTGGTTATGATTATTAAATTGGTGCCAGATTTTTAAGTACATTCTATGTATAATGGGTTATTACTTTAATTTTTGGTAGCTAATTGCAAATTTTGGTAGGTGAGACTATTTTTAGATATGAAAGTTAAAATATTTCAAAATGTTAAAATACTTCAAGTATTCTCTTTAAGAAATGAGAATGTAGCGAATGAAATAATGTCACCAAGGATAGAGTAGATTCTGTTAGCTCGTTTTAATTAGAATATGATTAGACAGCATCATTGAATTGCTGAATACATGTAGAGATCTTTAGATAAGTATCTATAGAATGTTCCTATGAAATGTATACATACTTTGAATATTAATATCAAACATAGAAATATTAAGTAACATGTTGATGATAAATCGTTTGAATTATTTTGTAATTATATAGATAATATATGAACTTTATCTGTGTTCATTTCATACTTAAATAAAAAGTATGCACATTTCATTGGGACATCGTATATATTATGAAGTAGTTAGATCATGAATATCTCGAAAAAAACTTGATTGCAGTTATATAAGGTCATTGATAAAGCATATACATGTATACGTTTATTCGAATAACCTGATCTAAATCAATCATTCAGAAATGTGGAAAGAACTCTGATATAAAAGTCTAATGACTTTGTCTACTGTAATTAATATTTATATATTTGAAGTTAAGTTAAAGAAGTATTTACACTGAAAACCACAATGAATTTTGAATACATTAAAACTTGAATTCTGAGTATGTTCAACATTTACTGAAATGTATGAAATAAAATGACTATTTTATAAATTCCGAGATAAACGATTTTCCAAAGATCGAGCACAAAAACATCGCCACGCAACAAGTTAATAATACTAAATGGGGAAAGCGAGTTACGATAATAAGAGTGCTCGCAATTATAGAGTTACGCGCTAATTTCCCGCCATTTCAATTTAAACGCGCGGCAAAGTTCCCGCGCTTTCTAGCGTTACAACTCAACTCCCTTTAACACCTAAACTACACTTTTACTTTTACAATTATTTACTGGTTTATAGTACTGACAATATTCTCGAACAATTTTATCACCGTCTACCGTCACGATTTTTTAATAATTCAAGATTTGTTAACACGTTGAGTAGCACGGAGATTGTCTGACTTATTTGGATTTTAGAGTTAGAGTGATGTTAAGGAGGATACTCATCAAGCAAGATACTTAAGCATGATACTAAAGTAAGATACTTAAACAAAATATTAAGTTATAATATTATAAGATATTAATATATTTCTAATTACAAGATCTCAATGTTTCTTCTACCAGAAATTTCAAAGAGGATATTTTTGTACACTCTGTTAGAAATACTCAAACTTTATAATAAAGTTTGATTTCAAATTATTGAACGTTTAACATAATAACATAAAAATATAAATTTAAGTTTGACTAAAATTTTCTGACAAAGTTTGCAAAGTGAGTACTGTAAAGATATAACAAATTACGAATTGAGATCAACCTTAATAGAAAATTAACTAAAAACTAAAACAATCATACTGAAATACTTCCGACAATCTCCATAATTTTTACCATGGTACTCAACCGATCTAAATAACAAAAGACTCACCTCGATGCTGTAAGACTTCTTGATAGCGAACATCTCGCGATTCTTCTGTGCCGCTGCGACAGCCATCATATCCGCCGTATTGTTCTTCGTAAATAAAATCGAGCCCAAAAGCTACTTCAAAGGTGCACCTCCAACCGGATCACCGTCGACGATCAATCAGCAGAATCACCGCTCACGAAAATTTTCTCGGTTTTCCGCTGCTCGAACACCGGGACTCGTGGGTCTCGATCTGAACGACAACAACAACGACTCTGACGACAATAGCGGGTGAACTCCCGTGTTAGTCCGCTTTGGACGAAGCGTGCGAGCGAATGCGCCTACGGGGCGGATTGCCGCCGCATATAAACGTTGCCTCCCTTCACCGCCGACTAATGTCGGGGTCAGGGGTGCCCCCACCCCACCCTCGTTTCGGGTGGTCCATCAGCTGCAGCCACCACCAGCTCCGTCGTCGCCACCACCACGTCGCCGTTCCAACGGTGACGCTTCCATCGTCCGCGCAGAACGGCAGAACGCCACGAGGTGGTTCGAGCTCTGCTCTTCTGACCCTCGATCAGCTGTATCTTCGACCGGTCGAAATAGAAGCACACCTGGTGGTCCAGTTTTTAAGGAGTCAATTAGTACAGACAAAGAACTGTGTCATCGAGCAATTAGAAACAGGAAGCCACTATCTATAAATAGCGACACGCTATTTACAGCGAAACGTTTCTTTGGACGGATGAAAATTTTCCTTAAGATTCGTTTCCGTGTTGTCGGTCACCGCGGACGTCACGAGCTGCAACGCCTGGAAACTCCCAAGTGCGATTCCGATACTCCCGGTTCGTTCCACTCTCACCGTGAATTCCCCGATACAACATTCCAGGAAAATGATCTGGTTCCTAAGAGTGGTAGACAAAAAGTTGCCGAAGCCTGTTCGACGAATCTCGATTTTTTTTTCTTAATTGACGATGACGCATTGAACGCTCGTTCTGGAGCGTCTGGGGAATAATGTTGTTCGCACACCTGTTCCGCGTTCACGTGATTCCAGGAAATCCAATACCAATGGGTGAAACCACGGGAAGAACCGCGATCAGAAATGTCTTCTTTATTACCGTTGCTGTTTAGTATGATCGTGGCCACGCGATGCAGTGCAATGAGATGACGTTATGACGCGGAGAGTAGTTGCGCTATGAATTTTGAGGACATTGTGGTGAATTTTTGGATGAGAAACACTTTTGTTGAAGGAATTTTTAGATTTGGAGTGCAGGAGTTTGGCTTGAGTTTTGGTACTATGAAGTTTGTATTTTGGAATGGAGGTTCTGACTTTCGGACTTGGGGAGTTCGACGCTTTGAATTTCGTCTGTAGGAATTTCAACGCTTCGAATTTCGATTAGGAGATTTTCTAGGCGTCCAATCTTGGATCTAGGGATTTCAATGGTTCGAATTTCGGGTCTAGAAGTTTCTACGTCTCGAATTTCGACTTGAGGAATTTCTACGTCCCGAATTCCAATGACCCGAATTTCCACTTTACGAATTTCCATGTCTCGAATTTCCACTTTAGGAATTTCCACGCCCCGAATTCTCACGCGTCGAATTTCCACGTCTCGAGTTTCCACGACCCGAATTTCCACGTCCCGAATTCAAACGCGTCGAATTTCCACGTCCCGAATGTCCTCGCGTTGAATTCCCATGCGTCGAATGTCCACGTCCCGAATTCCCGCGCGTCGAATTTCCACGTCCCTAATTTCCACGACCCGAATTTCCAAGTCCCAAATTCCCACGCGTTGAATTCCCATGCGTCGAATGTCCACGTCCCGAATTCCCACGCGTCGAATTTCCACGACCCAATTTTCCAAGTCCCAAATTCCTACGCGTTGAATTCCCATGCGTCGAATTTCCACGTCCCGAATTTCCATGACCCGAATTTCCACGTCCCGAATTCCCACGCGTTGAATTCCCACGTGTCGAATTTCCACGACCCGAATTTCCACGTACCGAATTTCCTAGCCCAGAATTACCACCATAGGAATTTCTTCATCCCGAATTTCCACCTTAAGAATTTTCAGGTCCTGAATTACGACTCTATGAATTTCCACGGCCCGAATTTCCACTCTAGGAATTCCACGTCCCGAATTTCCACCTTAGGAATTTCTATGTCCCAAATTTCAACTCTAGGAATATCCACGTCTTAAATTTTAGTGCATGCAGTTTTAACCTTGTAAAAATTGTCCCAATGTCCCAATTGTAGAAGTTCCAAATTTGCACTCTAAGAATTTTTATGTGTGCAATTTCAATACTACATCAATTACAATTCCCCGAATTTCAGTGATAGACGTACTTCCGAATTTTGATAATATTTGCTTTTAATAGTAAATATATATAGTCATCGTTATATGTATTTATTAACTTGATGCACATAATAAGTGTTTTCATGATAAAAGAAGATAATTCATGGATCGAAAGTTAAATCATAATGGAGTTTAGGATGCGTGGAATAAAGACAAGCCGGAAGTTTTCTAGCGACCTTCTTCCTTATCTCGGCAAAGAGATCCAGCATTAGTAGAGTATCGTTGGGAACAATATGTTGCATAGATCGTCAGGATATCAAGTACAGTCAGTTCAAATATTGCTTTCATGGGAACAATGTTGTAATTAAAGCAGATAAGGAGTTAAATTAATTGATTTATAGGGACATTGATTTATTAATTTATTGGTTTAGGAATTTTAAATTTTGGTGTTTTTGAATTTGTAGATATTTTTGAACTGTTACATATCCAAATCCTTAATAACCAAATATATAATATAACCAAATTTTCAAAATTCCAAAATTGCAAATTTCCAAATTTCTAAGCTCTCAAACTTCCAAGCGCCCTAAATCCCAAATTTTCATATTTCCAAGCTCTCAAACTTCCAAGCGCCCAAATTACCAAATTTCCAAATTTGCAAGCTCTCAAACTTCCAAGCGCCCAAATTACCAAATTTCCAAATTTGCAAGCTCTCAAACTTCCAAGCGCCCAAATTACCAAATTTCCAAATTTGCAAGCTCTCAAACTTCCAAGCGCCCAAATTCCCAAATTTTCAAATTTCCAAGCTCTCAAACTTCCAAGCGCCCAAATTACCAAATTTCCAAATTTGCAAGCTCTCAAACTTCCAAGCGCCCAAATTACCAAATTTCCAAATTTGCAAGCTCTCAAACTTCCAAGCGCCCAAATTACCAAATTTCCAAATTTGCAAGCTCTCAAACTTCCAAGCGCCCAAATTACCAAATTTCCAAATTTGCAAGCTCTCAAACTTCCAAGCGCCCAAATTACCAAATTTCCAAATTTGCAAGCTCTCAAACTTCCAAGTGCCCTAATTCCCAAATTTCCAAAGTTCCATGCTTTCAAACTTCCAAGCGCCCAAATTCCCATATTTCCAAATTTCCAAACTCTCAAGTTTCCAAGCGCCCAAATTCCCAAATTTCCAAATTTCGAAAAATCCAAATTCTCAAATTCCCCAATTTCTAAAGTCTCAAATTCTCAAATCCCAAAGTCTCTATATTTCCAAATTCTCAAATCCCCAAATTCCCAAGTCCCCAACTGTCAAACTCCTCAAGTTCACTTTCCAAATTCCCCTAACCTACCCATACCCCTAAATCTCAAAGATTCCTAAATCCCAAATCCTCACAAAACTTCCAAATCCCCAAAATCCCAAAATTATCTCCACACCTACTTTCATCCAATTTCCATCCCTAAGTCCCGCGACCTTCAAAAACCCCTGCAAATCTCGTCTCCCTGCGTGGGCGACCCGCCGTCCTTTAATCACCATATTATTGCCGGGAAATCCAGATTTGCCGTTGACTGTACGCATACGTATACGTACACAGCGATCGTACGCGCCTCCATTCCACCAATGTTGCTCTAAATGAGACGCGATCTTACTTTCATGCATCAAGGCCGCTCTAAGAGCACGGAAACTGAGCGGCACTTGCTCTGCGTCAGATCGACAACACGCGTGTACGCACGTAATCTGATAATTCACGGGTTTCTAAAGCGAAACCCGTCTACACAGACCGGTCTAACAGAACGTTCGATGCACGCATATCAATTTCTCTCTTTTTTTATTTATGTCGAATAGGATTTTCCCTCGAGACGTAGGAGAAGACGTGCGTACGCGAAATGTTTGACATTCCTGGCGAACGGGAACTGACGCTTCGACGTCACGTACGCACCCACTGTGTGCTGACGTTTTTTTCTGTTTTCTTTCCTCCTTCTTTCGAGGAGATTTATTTACCTGGTTTACCTAGGTTGGTTGACATTAACGGATGTTGTGGAAGTGGGCTCTTTTTTTGGAAGGTATGAGGATTGGAGGAAATTAGTGTAGTGGGTGATACTGTTTTGGCATTTTGGGATTTTGAATTGGGAAATTAGGGAATTAGGAAATTATGGAACTGGGAAATTAGAGAAGTGGGAAATTATGGAGTTGGGAAATTTGATTATTTGGGAAGTTAGGGAATTGGCAAATTATGGAACAATGAAATTAGAGAATTGGGAAATTAAGGAGTTGAAAGACTTGAGATATGAGAAATTAGGGAATTAGGAAATTAGGGATTTGGAAAATCAGGGAATTTGGAAATTATGGAGTTGGAAAATTAGGGAATTGGGAAATTGAGGAGTTGCAAGATTTGAGAAATTAAGGAATTGGGAATTTAAGGAACTGGAAAAGTAGGGATGTGGAAAATGAGGGAATGGGGAAATTAGGGAATAGGAAAATTAGGGAATTGGGAAATTAGGGAATTGGAGAGTTAGGTAATTGGGAAATTAGAGAACTGGGAAATTAGAGAAGTGGAAAATTAGGGAATTGGAAAATTTGATTATTTGGGAAGTTAGGGAATTGGCAAATTATGGAACAGTGAAATTAGAGAACTGGGAAATTAGGGAGTTGAAAAATTTGAGATTTGAGGAATTAGGGAATTAGGAAATTAGGGATTTGGAAAATTAGGGAATTGGGAAATTTTGGAGTTGGAAAATTAGGGAATTGGGAAATTAAGGAGTTGGAAAATTAGGGAATTGGGAAATTAAGGAGTTGGAAGATTTGAGATTTGAGAAATTAGGGAATTAGGAATTTATGGAACTGGGAAATTAGGGAATTGGGAAAATAGGGATTTGAAAAATGAGGGAATTGGGAAGTTATGTAATTGGAAAATTGGGGATTTGGGAATTTATGCAACTGGGAAATTAGGGAATTGGAAAAATAGGAATTTGGAAAATGAGGGAATTGGAAAATTAGGAAATTGGGAAATTTGGGATTTGGGAAATGAGAGAATGGGGAAATTAGGGAATTGAGAAATTATG